AGGTGCTTGACCGCGAAATTTCCCCGGGATTTCCTAGAAACGAAATTAGTTGACCGACATTTTAATTTCTAAATCAACGATTTTAATTAAAATCTTCGAGAATTTTGAAAATATTGAGATCCAAAAGGTTTCAGTTATTTTTATTCTGTGTGTGTATCTAAAATGTAGAACTGATTTGAACCGCATAATAACAAAATAGTCAACTAATGTTTCAACATGGCGCCAATTTAGGGCTGAGATCTATTCTCAAACTAGATATTTCTCTGTGTGCACAATAGGACGGAGTGTTGGACACGGTATAATTCCTAGTCGTTCGGCTGGGATGATAACCCGAGGTCCTCGGAAGTCGGAAACGCCGTTGGACGAGGTACATTTCTCACACTCACACTACATACGCCATGCTCGTCTTCATTAGCCTTGTTGGTGACGAAAAGTAGGACGTTAAACCCCATTTTATTACGTGTATGCTTGATAAAGACTATTGAAATCTTGAAATGTGAAATGATGACACGATGTGACGCATTTAACCGAAACACGTCAATACCGCCTCGCGGAGGGGGGTTGGATGGCCGAATGGTTAGCACATGCACGCTGTATCATAAGGTCCGCATTGAGTTAACTGGCCTTGTTTCGATTCCCCGGTTGTACGTGACAAGGAGTAGGATCGCCTGTCCAACCTCGTGAGTTTTCTCCGGGTCCTCCGGTTTCCTCCGACAGCTAAAGACCCCTACGCGCAAGCGAATTATTGAAATAAAATTGAACCATGTGTTAGTCCCTAAATGACCTAGTTTGTGTCGAGTGGACGTTAAACCCTCGCGGTTCTAGTTTTATTTCTAATGAAACCACCCATCATACCCACCAAGCCACGCATTTACAGTGGGTGTATAAAAATGACATTCAGTTTACATAAGCATAAATTGAAATCAATCACATTATTTCCTCTTTACCACAAACAATAACGCCCACACTAAAAATAGATTTTTTTTCTACAAAGACATTTCAAGACCCACTTTATGTATTGCCGCCATTATGACTGATGACAATTCATTTTTTTTACATTCAACTCCACTGAAAGTTTAGTCTCGGTAATCCAGAACCTTCTAGTATTAAACGTGCGGATATTCGTCTGAATGATAGAGACTACTGAACGTTTTCTTCTAAGGGGAGATTATCGTCTAATTTTGTGTAATTATGAATCCATTATGGATCTTAACACGAACCATTTGAAAACGTTAAAGATGCATTATCGCTTTCTCAATGGGAATCAAAAATCTACTCAATTTTATATATTTTTCAGATTTAAATAATATTAAACTTTTAAAAATTTCAACGACTGAGCAGAGACAGGCAGCTGGTTTTTTTTTCAAATCTCTGAGGTTGAAAGTCTTACTTTTCTGAACCAAACAGGCTAATGGTGTTCTGCATCAACTGGGCTATTGAAGACCAATCTGATTAAAACTTTTAATCTCGTCGTCAGATACATGTTTTCCGGTCACAGATTAACGTCGGTTTTCCCAGGGCCCTTATTCACGAAAACTTAAACTAAGATAAAATCGAAATTTTAAGAAATACTACAACTTCATTGGATATATGCAAATTGATTTTACTGGTCAGCCAATCGAATTGCAGTATTTCTTAAAATTTCAATTTTATCTTAGTTTAAGTTTTCGTGAATAAGGGCCCAGATTCGGATTCCCGGAAGTCCACGCGACCTGCAGGCGGGAGTCCAACCATGAAAACTATTCAATTGTTTTTCGGACAACTAGTTTTATTATGTATAACAATCGTTGTTCAACTAAATCGGGGAGATTTCGACTTGACAGTTTTTACGTATTTTTGAAACAGGTTTCGAAGTGTTTTGGTTCTGTTATGCAAGATCTTTTTCGACGTTCCAAAGTAAAAGTTCGGTGCTAAGACCACTATATTTTACGCTGACATTTACTGCTTTAGATCTTCCTAGTGCAAAAACGGAAAATTTGACATTTTGACCTCCCAGGTCACAAAGACCAAAGGTGAATTTAGCAAGTTTACATTGTTATTGAAAGGGTGATTACTTTCGATCATTTTCTGCATGTTTTCGTGATATAAAAATGGCTACACATTCTCTTTCAGTGCAGATGACCTCATTTGACCTTTGACCCCGAATATCTCGAAAACATCCCAACGGCGGACTGATTACCACTGGGTCTGTTTTTGTGCCCATTTGATGGAACCCCCCCCCCCCGCACTGAGCCTCCCGACTAAAATATTTAATTTAAAAATTAATTAAGAACTTTTAATAAGTTTTTCCATGTTTTGTGTATTTTCTTTCTGTTACCTTCTTTGTCCCAATATATAATGACGTGTGTAAAACCTCAAAAAAAAACGTGCTTGACGGGTTGTTTACGGTTTATTTTTGTTGATATTTTGAATTGTATACTATATTGGGGTACCAAAATCTTCTAAGTTCTTAGGGCCTCTGTAGGTCCTACCGACTCTGTAAATGAATACACAGGTGAACTTCCTGGCCATCATCCCTTTGACTTCCCACTGGCACTGGCCAACACTAGGATCGAACCCATGGGATCCACCGTTCCCGATAACAACCACACCATTTCAAATCAACCTGTGTAGTTCTTATTAAAGAAATACAATGAAATGGGGTTTAAAATCCTAGTATTCTGCACCGACAGGGATAACGAAGACGGGTGTATTGAAGACAAGTGAGAATCTGGGAGTGAGAATCCCGAAAGTTCTTCGCAGGCCGCGCCGTGATTCGAATCCGTGCATTCAGGTCGTGAGTCCAGTGCCTTAACCGCCGCCCAAGTTAACTGTCATAAATCCCAAGTAGTCTAATTGGTTATACAGCCGTACATTTAACAATATAAATATTGAAATGAAATGTGTTTAATGTTCTGCACCAACCAAGTTAATGGAAACGTGCATACGCCATGCAGTGTGCTATGAAGGACATTTTGCCAGGGCAGTGGCGCAATTGTCTACTCTTATTTCGATTTCTAACTATCAGCGAATCTTTAACGTACTGACAAACTTCTTACTGTTTCCGCCTTCTATTCAACGAATACCGTCATTGTCAAGGGTTCTTGTACGTGCACTTCAATTCAACGAGTACACGTGTGGCCATTGGATTTTTGTCCCAACCGAACTATTAGATGCTTATTTTTGCCAGCGCCATGCAATGTACTATGGAGGACATTTTGTTCGGACAGTGGCGCTACTGCCTACTCTTATTTCGAATTCCAACTGCCAAGGGTTCTTTAACGTGCACAGTGTTAACAGCGATATCTTCAACTTATGTTAATTTCACTCTTTGATTGGATGCACTCCTGAAATGTATGCTCTATCCACGCACCCCTTCTTAAAGAACCCTTAGCATTTTAAATTTTATAGGAGCAGAACAGTAGGACGTTAAACCTCATTTCATTTCATGCATTTTAAATTCGATGTAAGAGTAGACCATAGCGCAGCTGTCCGAGCAAAATTTCCCTCATAGCACACTGTATGGCGTATGCCCGTCTTCATTAGCCCAATCGGGGCAGAACAGTAGGACGTTAAACCCTATTTCATTTCATTTCATTTATTCACTGACAGTGGGATTTGGAAGATTTTATATAAACCATGTTTTGTTTAATGTTGAGGGGTTGGATGACCGAATGGTTAGCACGTGCGCGCTGTATTATAAGGTCTGTCATTGAGTCAACTGGCGTGGTTTCGATTCCCCGGTTGTACATGACAAGGAGTAGGGTCGCCTTCCAACCTCGTGGGTTTTCTCCGAGTCCCCGATGTCCTCCCACTGCTAAATACCACTATGCGCAAGCGAATTGTTGAAATAAAGTCTCGAAATGACCTAATTTGTGTCGAATGGACGTTAAACCCCATTTCTCTCTCTTCTCTCTGTCTCTGTTTAATATTGATGGGCGTGCAATTAAAAGATCCCCTGGCAGTTGGAATTCGATATAAGAGTGGGTCATAGCGCCGCTGCCCGAGCAAAATTTCATTAGCCTAATCGGAGCAGAACTGTAGGGCGTTAAACCCCATTTTATTTCATTCCACTCCTCCCTGTGCGTCACTGAAGGGAAAACAAAGGGCGCGAGGACAGATAACACACACACATCACTCTGACAGGAACTATTGATCTACAATCCAGTCAAATAATATAGTATAAAATACGTGTAATTATTTTCTGATATCAATAATTAAGAATGTAGACATATAGGTTACTATATCACCCTTGACAACCGAGTTGTCTATTTGTCATCATTATAGCAGATATTTGTGGATATGCAAATCACTTTTCACGCCATATCACAGTAATTTTAATGACAATGGTTAAATCTTTGTCGTAGTAATAGTTGCCTTAAAGAAAGCCAGCCGGGCTTACTTTTGGCACATATAACCAATTTCCCCGAATTTGGCCCCGCACTAGAAAGGGACCCGGCAGCTCACCAACTTAAATAATTTCCAGCATAGCAGTTGGCTTTAAATATGAATGAATATAGAATTATTTAGTGTTATACATGTCCTGTAATGTAGTCATATCCTGTATAACTTCGGGCCTCCTAAATTGGGCCTCGCATTTTCTACAGCCGACCCTGGCGACCAAAACGGGCTTCTGTCACTCCACCTTTTTTGCTCTAGCAATCAGTTGACCGCTTCGATTTAAGTGACTATTTACTTGTAGGAGGAAATCGAATAAATATAAAATGCAATCTTGTGCTCATTCAAGCAAGCCTGGCGACCAAAACGGGCTTCTTTTACCCCACCCTCTTTTCTCATCCTCCATAAATGGCTACTGTTAAATGGCGCCGCTAAAAAAAAAACATGTCACGTTAAGCCAGGGAATAGAAACCATGCCAGTTGACTCACTGACAGACCTTTAGATACAACGCCGCGCACATGCTAACCATTCGGCCATCTAACACCCCTGTCCAAAAATAAAGCGCTTGTATGTATATTAAAGAGTGACTGAGCAAGTTAAATAACTGTGTTTATTATTTCAGATAATCTGGACGAGGAAGAACAAACAGAATGCCTAACATTTATTGACAGGTGGGACGTTATTTATTTATACATGCGACTAAAAGTCTATTGGCGCTATATACATTTTCGCTCAAATATCAACAAATTTCAAAATAATACACATTATTATGTACTCAGATTGCTTATTAAACATTTTTAAATGTAAGAAAACAAAATCGAAATATCAACCTTAGATCATCTCTCGGCTTGGGTTCAATGGGATTTAAACCCCTCGTACGCAAATAATGTCAAAAATAGGGTATATCAAGGTTGTTGACCATGTAGAGGTCACAATTTTGATCCGATTTTGATAAAACTTGAAATACATGTTGATAACCCACATATCGTGTTTTTTCTCCAAATTTGCGCATATCGGATTGTAACTTGTACCAAATTTCGCGTTTTTAGCTTTTGGTCCCTCTAGAGGTCACAATTTTTATGCGATTTTAAAAACTGTTTGAACATATCACCTAATGATGGTTGAATTCGAATTTCGTGAAAATCGGACCAAAACTGCCGGGCAAAATGGCCGCCCTCGAACGCAAATAGTGTAAATATATGGTATATCAAGGTTGTAAACCCTCTAGACGCCACAATTTTGAACCGATTTTGATGAAACGTTAAATGTATGTTTATATCACAAAGATCTGGGTTCATTTCGATCATCGAGCATGTCCGAACGTAATTTCCTGGATTATCACCGTTACACATCAATGAAGGTTGAGTTCGAATTTCGTGACAATCGGACCGAAACTGTCTGACATACGAAGGTTGTGGACCCTCTAGAAGTTACAATTTTTATCCGATTTTGATGAAATTTAAAATGTATCTTTATATCCCACATATCTCAGTCCATTTTGATATTCGCGCATTTCAGACCATAACTTCCTGGATTATCGCCCCTGATTGTACGAAACGTCGCCTTTTTAGCTTGTTCTCTATCCATCTCTTATAAAATGTGGGCGTATCTTGCCTGGCAACCGCTGGATGGACTGTCTCATACTTTATATAACACCAGAAAAAAACGCCATGCAATAGGGAGATATAGCTTTAGTTTTAGAGTTTTGGCAGATTTTCGCGCCGTCTACGTATGGGTAGCTGAGCTGAGCGTAGTTCTATTACATCATGGTGGCAGTTTTATTTATCAAGATCAATACATCAGTACTAGTCAAGTACCTAGCCTACAAAAAAATTCCTGAAGGGAGTGACGTCGTTCGACAGTCGCTGAGTTATTTAAAAAAAATATTAAAAATTAATGTCGAATCTTATTAAAAAATATACCCCTTTTACAGATTTGCAAGGTCCCACCTCTCTAAATTTAGCACGTAGATCAACAAGCGTGTAGACAGACAGGAAAAATATGAAAATTCCGCGAAAAGCTCATCAAAAGTAATGATTAAATTCTAGTCTTTGCCATGGTTAAAATCACATCAAATATACACCTTTGTGTTCTAGGATACACATAGATTCCTAAAAATGCTACGGCACAACATTTCAGCGTCTAAAAGTAGCAACAAATACGATAAAAAGACGACGATGTTATACGGACCTTTTCCGTATGAAAGCTGTTCGATACGTGCTGCCGTATCCGTGTGCCGTATCACGTATGAGAAATACACACGCATTGATGACGTCACACGCAAAATCGTTACGGATACGCAATACGGACCAGGAATTTACGCTTGCCAAAAGTCTCTAATGCCTCTTCAAATAACTACATGCCCGGAACTCTACACCGCAATGAACGCTTATGGCTGGGCGGCTTTTATGATTCTAGCGTGTCAATTCACATTAATTGAGACACTACGATGCTGTTAGCAACTCAACCAGGAAGTGACACATTTGACAGAACTGCCAACATCCCAACGAGATAATTCTCATATATGATGTAAATATATAAAAAAAAAAAATAGAGAATACTTAGGAGAATAATCCACTAGATTCTTCCTTGATTAAATGTCTGAAGATTTGCTAAAGACATTTTTTTTTTGTATTATTACAACACGCATTAAACTTATCTATTAGAAGACATATAATTGGGACATAAACACTTCCTGCTTCGAATTTAGAAGGGATTTATTGGGTGAGGTCAAATGTAGTGTTGGGGTAAAAAGGTGTAGTTTAATGATCGAGTGTGAAACATTATATTGATATTGTACGAGTGCGATAGCACGAGGGAAATATCTATATATATTACGCAATGTCTTGCACGAGGCCATTAAACAACTTGAAATACAGACACTATCCAGTACGTGCATTTCAATGAAATACGTCATGCGGGTCCAATATTGCAACTAGTATAAATAATGTACGCTTGGCACATTGCTCGTACCATTATTTGAAATAATGGTACGCCAACATCAAAGGATGACGTCACATCTGTAATTACAGTGTATGACCAATGTAACACTAGTGTAAATATTTTCCTAACTAGTGTAAATATTTTCCTCAAATAAACTGTTACGCCAAAAAGGCAGATAATTACAGCTATATTTCATTCACCTGTGGATAAAATTACAAGGTATTGTCTCAAGACAACACCAGTGTTACTCGAAACAAATACAAATGTGGTTTCCGAATATCCGGCTTCGATAATTTCTTGGATTATTTCTAAAGAAGACCCCAAAAAATATCAGATTTTGTGTTTGGTATAAATATTGAGAGACTTTTAATATTGAATAATGATATTAGACGAAAAAATAACAACATTTTATGAAAATTAGATAACACTTATATCTTACTTGTGACCACGATAAAGTGTTAACCCCCAGGGTCTGGGATCGCTGAGAACTTTTCGTGGGTTTGCTGTGAACTACTCTGAAACTTTTGAATAAATGCTATGTTTTCTTGAAAAGCATACACGAGGGCTGACTGAAAAGTTCTAAGACTGAAAAGAGTAGATCGATTGGGCTGAAACAAACTTTTGGCACCACCAAGTACAATCATTGAATGAATCATAGACATAAGAACTACAACTGTAGTGTTATTATTGTCTTTGTACCAGACCATCTTGTGAACCAACCCATTGAAATCACCAGTAATGGACAAAACTGGCTATAATGAAGTCATCGAGTACCTGCAACTGAAAGGACTAACCCCAACACATATACATGCCGACATGGTCTCCACTTTAGGAGATGATGCGCGTTCCTTCCCACGGTAAAGAAGTGGGCTGTGGAATTTAAGCGTGGCAGAGAAAGCCTTGAGGATGAATCGCGTCCATGAAGGCCATCAACAGCAACCATTCAAGAATACATTACCCGGATGCAAGATATGGGGATGGCTGATCGACGATTGACCACTCGAAATATTGCAAGTGTTGTGGGTATCTCTCATGAGATGATTGAGCACATTATCGCCAGCGAGAGCATGACGTCCCTTCCTTTTCCAGAGTAAAGACGGGGAATTTAAGCGTCTTGGGATGCCATCAACAGTAACCATTCTACAAAACAGTATACGAGTGCATGACATGATGGCTGATCGACGATTGACCACTCGGCATATTGCTAGTGTTGTGGGCATCTCTCATGAGAGGATTGAGCATATTGGCTGCGGATCAGAAACGTTTAGATTCCTGGCGTTCCGAGACAATCTGTGCCGTTTTGAAGTAGATCCTGATAATATTTTTACCCAGATTTGTAACTATGAATGAAACCTGTTTCCAAAAATGAAAAAGGTTGGGAGTTCGATCCCTGCATTGGCCGAGAAAGTTCATCCAGATTTTTCGGCGGGGTTCCCCCTTGCCAGTGATGCAGGACGGAGGGCATGACAAGGACAGCTGTCTAGTCTTTCGGATGGTACGAAAAACTGAGGTCCCGTGTACATATTGGCGTGCACGTAAAAGACCCCTTGACAGTTGAAATTCGATATAGTGCCGCTGTCCGGGCAAAATATCACTCATAGCAAACTGTGTGGCATATACCCGTCTTCATTAGCCTAGTTCGGATCAGAACAAGCTGAACAGTAGGACGTTAAACGCCATTTCATTTCTTATGTATGAAACATTGACGCGGTACAATGCAGTCTAGGGCCACAAAATATACGGGTGCTCCAACCAAGGTGTATATTATTAGCCCTTCTTAAACGCACTGTATATAGTCCTTAACATCCTTCATCAACCTCGACTTTACTCCATTTTGTTTGAAACAAATTAGATTAAAACCAGGGGCCTGTTTCACGAAATTTTAACTAAGATAAAATCAAGATTTTAGTAATTTGATTGGATAATATTAGATTGATTTTAGTGCTTAGCCAATCAAAATCTGCATTAAGCAGCCACCCACGGGAATTTTCACAACTGACCGCTTAACGGGAGTGGCCTCTTAATAAAATCTCGTTGCTTTTTGTGCCGACATAAATTAAATATTACGCTTGGATGCATTGGAAGCGGTAAATTTGGCCGTCGCTGAATCTTGCGCCGAACGAAAATTCTTTACTCAAATCTCGGACATAACTTAACGGGAGTGGCCTCTTAATAAAATCTCGTTGCTTTTTGTGCCGACATAAATTAAATATTACGCTTGGATGCATTGGAAGCGGTAAATTTGGCCGTCGCTGAATCTTGCGCCGGACGAAAATTCTTTACTCAAATCTCGGACATAACTTCTGTAAACTTGTCATTTTGTACCAACCTTCGATACTACTGTCTACCATTGTGATGCATTCGATAATATTTATCCATTTTTGTGAAGAAAATCGATGAATTCATTTTATTTTATCAAAAAAGCACATGAACAAAAAACATCGCTAATTTTATCACCTATTTACAGGGGGTGTAACTCTGTATGTAATATTATAGGAGGCGCTAAGAGAGATACTAGATGATCGTGACAAAACTTGGTACTTTTATTTTATTCAATCAGTATCAAATAATGTGTCGTTACGCGTGAAAACAATGATCAGGTTAGTCGTTTAATAAAACAAAAGATTAATTAACAGATAATCCCGGGTTGATTGTTATGTTTACTTTTCTTTTTACCTGATCAGTGGGGGTCCAGTTAATTAACTACTACTCACGGGATTAGCGGGGGTGTTACAAAGAACGACAAGATTGTATCATTCAACAATGGCCGTTGAATGGGCGATGTTTTGTTGAATTTATTAGTAAAATAGTGACCGCTGGCCGCGTTAGAGGAGTGACCGTTGAATAAAGAGATGAAACAACAGAATTTCTACGGGGGGAATTTATCGTGACCGCTTACAAGAAGATGTCGCTGAATAGGAGTGGCTGCTCATACAGATTCTACTGTATCTACTAAAATTTGGATTTTATCCTTAGTTAAAATTTCGTGAAACAGGGCCCTGTACATTATTGATGCTATGCGTGTAAATACTATTAAATCAAATAATGGGTACCTCTTAACACTTAATATCGACATTTCTCAAACAACCATTAATGTATTATAGTACTAACTTTCAACATGGTTTTTCTTCTAACATAAAACACTAAATGGATATTACTTTACAGCGACATATAAATATCGATCTTGGCACGGAAAGTTCGGATCATTGCCTATTATTTCTGCCCTGTTGGTTTTACACCATGGTCTTAGCATCATATGGGGGTTTGTGGCCGTTAGATCATACGGTCTGTCACTGATTCAAGTGGTTTGGTTTCGATCCCAAGCTTGTGCGTGATAAGGGGTAGGGTCGATTGTAAAACCAAAAGTTTGGATCATTGCCTGTTATTGCTGCCCTGTTAGTTTTACGTTTTAACATCGAGGCATTAAACCCGATTCACTTACTTTACATTGGAATCATTCAAATATGCAATTCCCCATTTACAGACTGAACACCATTAAAGGGACAATAACACTCTTGCTGGCTTGACAGCTCCAGTAAATAAATATTAGCCTTATTCTAAGTATTAGATGTTTAAGTGTCCTACCTGTTGTGTAAATTATCCATTAAATCCTATTTTACTTGTCCAGAGGGTTCGGAAATATTTTTAAATCCAAGTCACATTGAAAAGGTATACGTTAGGTATTTCAAATCATTTAGTTGAATTTTTCCAATTTTTTTAAATTAGGTGTGTTAAGATGAAATTTGTATCATCAATTAATTGGAATACTGTAAAATAGTACAATTTGTTGACCCGAATAAAGATTGGGACATATTATTCTGTTACAACAAAAGTGGTATTGAGCCTTTAAACTACTGTTAACAGGGTCATCAAAGGATGACGTCACATCTGTATTTTAACTTTATTTAACGTCCGCTTCCACCGAAGTGATATCAGAAACAAGCATCCTTATACAATTACCTGGCTTTTAGTATTTGATAGCCTCTGTTAACCAAAAGAAGAGTGTTCACACACTCTCACAGTCTGATTAAAATGTAGATACGAGGTTTATAAACGTCCACTCGACACAAACTAGGTCATTTCCGGACTAACACATGGTTCAATTGTATTTCAACAATTCGCTTGCGCGAAGAGGTCTTTGACAGTGAGAGGAAACCGGAGGACCCGGAGAAAACCCACGAGGTTAGACAGGCGACCCTACTCCTTGTCACGTACAACCGGGGAATCGAAACCACGCCAGTTGACTCAATGACAGATCTTATGATACAGCGCGCCCGTGCTAACCATTCGGCTACCCCCCCCCCCCAAAGCACGTTAACACTGGAGCATTTTCTAAGGCGCTGTTGGTTGTTATACTCATGGATTCTTTTCAGATGGGTGATTTAAAATGACATTAATTGTTTCATTGACTCAGGTAGTTTATTCCAAAGAAACGGGTCCAGCATAGGAAAAAGTACGTTTTCCAATCTGTAAATTAATAGTTGGAGATTTTAGGAGATGTATTTTCTGAGAAAAGAGATTTCTACTGGTAGTACTATATGGCTTTACAAGACTTTTTATATAAAATATTGGCCTTTGAACGTTTTGAAGACAAAGAGGAGTAACTTGAAATTAAGCTTTTGTGAATTAGGAACTAATTGAGGGGAAGATGTTTTGAGGTTTCTGGTTTAGTTTGAATGAGGAGTAGGGAGAATGATAAAGGGGTTGGACCGCTAACTAACAATTTACATTACATTCGGAATTAAAAACGCGAATTAGGATTCAATATCGGTCTATTTTCAATTAATGTTGAAGTTGTTATTCTAACATCCAATATTTAAGACATAAAGCAATCAACATACTCTGTGGTTTCGGGTGCCATTTGTAATGAAGAAAGAAAACATATCCTACAAGACAATGCGGAAGTAATTAGTAATGGATGATTCACGAACGATAAGCTAATAATAAAAAAAAACGTGTAAATTGGATAGTACAAGCGTAAACGACTGCAGTTTAATTTTGACTGTTCACATATTTCACTGAACATAATGGATTAGAAATTACGAGATTTTGTTTATAAAATTGAATACAAATCACTTTACAGTGACAAGGGGTAGCATCGCCTGTCTAACCTCTTGGTTTTCACTGGGTTTAGTACGATCGCAAATTGCATCTTATAACTATCTCAAAGATAGAAACTATGTAAGATTTTGATAATAGTTATAAACTAGATAATGAAAGGGTATCTTATTCGAATTACTTTATTCTGAGCGACGCAGAGTCGCGATTGTCATAGCTACCGATGTTAATTAAAACCGCTTATCTTCTTAAATCCGTTGAAAATCAAGAGCATCCGGTATATAGAGGTTTTCCTTTTCTTGCATCACTTCCATTTCTTCTAATCTTCGTTACGCATCTATTGTAGCAATGGCCTCTGTGTTAAAATTATATTTGTGATGTGTTTAACCAGTTATATCTTCTTTAAATCCGTTGAAAATCAAGAGCATTCGGTATATGGAGGTATAACTCTTGTTTTCCTTTTTTTGCGTCACTTCCGTTACCTCAAATCTTCATTACGCATCTATCGTAGCAATGACCTCTGTGTTAAAATTATATTTGGAATGTGTTTAACCAGTTATATCACATTATGTGATAATGGCTGACACCAATATTGTCCTTTAACTAAATAGTGAATTGGCAGATTCGCCTACCTAATCACGTCACTTTTAATCTGAGCATGTAAAACGAACTGCGCAGTCAAATGACAGAAGAGGAGACTAATTGCGCCAAAGAGTATTTTAATTAATTTACGTTAATGAAATATTATTAATAATAATACCGAATCGTATTCCTCAATACTCGACTAATTGCGGTAATTCTACCCAAAAGTTTTTTAATTATCATCTTCAGTTTCAGTTTAATAAATTTATAAGCTTGAAATGAGTGAATCTCGATGATCAAGTCGTTTTATCCTATTTTCCTTTCGTGATTAGCGTTCGCAGTTTCTGCGGATCAATGTCACCGTCCTTTCGTGATTTGCCTTTGCTGTTTCTGCGAATCAATGTCACCGTTTGCTTCATATATTTCAAAAATGACACCATCGTTTAAATTATATTCGGATTATTCGATTGGCCAAATATGATTCATACACCCTTTAATAATGATTTAAACACTAAATCCTAACATTATGCTAAAATCTGCTACATTTACTCACCGATTGCTCGCCCCTGTGTACTCCCTTTACTCGCGTAAACAGAAAGAGAAAGAGATAGGGAGAGGGGGGGGGGGGATTGGGTTTAACGTCCACTCGACACAAACTAGGTGTAGAAAAGTAGGACATTAAACCCCATTGCATTTCTTTTCACTCAGTATAAATGAAATAATAATTTATTTGTTTGTAGGCTGATATTACAAGGAAGAACATCATTGGCTGATTTTTCAATACCATTTAAAACTGTCGAGTTAGCCGAGTGTTTAAAAGAAGGGCGAAGATGTAAAATATACAAGTAAGTTGGACCTTCCTTCTATTATCTATATGGGAGATGCTAGTTGTGAGCCGGCTGGGGAGGTTCGGGACTTTCCGGAGTCCACAGTGGCCTCTTTATATAAATGAGCAAATAGGGGATTGTTAACCCTAACCCTACCCTTTTTAGAAGACTGAACATGGATCCAATTTACCCTTTGCCCCTCTAAATAGGGGTTAGGGTTAGAGTTAGGTTTAGTATTCCCCCAAATATTCATTTATATAAAGCGGTCATTGTGGACTCCGGAAATTAGCCGGTTGGGGAGGTTCGGGCATTTCTGGAGTCCACAATGGCTGCTTTAAATGAGTATTTGGGGAATACTAACCGTACCCCGTCTTACAAGACGGGGGGGTGGGTGGCTGAATGGTTAGCACGTGCGCGCTGTACCATAAAGTCTGTCATTGAGTCAACTGGCGTGGTTTCGAATCCCCGGTTATACGGGTCAAGGAGTAGGGTCGCTTGTCCAACCTCGTGGGTTTTCTCCGGGTCCTCCGGTTTCCTCCCACTGCTAAAGACCCCTACGCGTAAGCAAATTATTCCAATAAAATTGAACCATATGTTAGTCCCGAAATGACCTAGTTTGTGTCGAGTGGACGTTAAACCACATTTCTCTCTCTCTCTCTCTCTCTCTCTTACAAGACTGAACTTGGGTCCAATTTAGGGTTAGTATTCCCCAAAATACTCATTTTATATAAAGCGGTCAATGTGGACCCCTGAACCTCCCCAACTGGCCTACCATTAGCATCTCCCAAATCGGGGACATACTTTTCCTTATCGGTCACTGTTTGCAATACTTTCGACGCTATTGACCATATATGTTCTTGTCGGTGATCAATAGCATTGAAAAAAATAAAACAAATGTTACCATAGCGCATGCGTTATTTTTGTTACTTTATTACAGGGGACGATGGCATGGTGACGTCACAGTGCACCTGTTCAGTGGAAGAGATGACGTAACTGATACATTTTGGATGAATTTAACGAAATTATGTAGGATTCGTCATGAAAATATCATACTTTTTATGGCAGCGTGCACGGAACCGCCCGACCTGGCTGTAATAACGAGGTAACAAGTCTCTAACATCCTATTTTGTTGCTCCATCGGGCTAATGAAGACGGTCATACAGTGTGCTCCGAGAGAATTTTGTCGGGCAGTGGCTCTTCGTCCCATTCGCTCAACTAGACCCTGTTCCATACAAGGCCCTCCATCCCGCACCACTGACAAAGGGATAGCACGAACGTGCTAGACTAGTAACCTGGTCCCGTGTACACGTTGGCGTGCACGTAAAAGAAACCCTAACAGCGGAATTCGAAATAAGAGTCTGTCGTAGCGCCGGTCTCCGCGCCAAATTTCTCTTAAGGCACAGTGTATGGCGTCTGCCCGACGATTCTGAAAAGTATGCCTTTAAATCGTATTAATTTCGTATTGTCACCCATGCCCATCGGGATTTTCCGACGTGGTTCCCCCTTGTTAGTTGTACAGGATGGGGGGCCTGACGAGGGACATCTGTCTAGTCGTTCGGATGAGACGAAAAACTTAGGTCCCGTGTACACATTGGCGTGAAAGTAAAAGATCCCTTGACAGTTGGAATTCGATATAAGAGTAGACCACAGTGCCCTCCCCGGGCCAAATTTCCCTCATGACACACTGTATGGCGTATGCCCGTCTTCATTAGCCTAGTCGGAACAAAACATTAGAACGTTAAACCCCATTTCATGTCATGTCACCTATGCCATAATCTAAGAAAAGAACTCCTGGGCGGCCAATTGTTCACGGTATTATACTTATTACTTGGCTTCATTCTTGTTGACATAAAAACATATCGCGGTAATGATTGAACAAACTTTTTCATCTTTAAAGAGCAATATTGATATTAATTTATCAACAAAAAAACCCACCCAACCACATCCAGTATTTGTTTAGAGTTTTTAAACTAAGCATGCTATAGTATGGTCATCAATAACTATTTCAATCTTACAAACTTTCGGAGTTCTTAAATACATTGTTCGAAAACTAAAATTCTTTTTCTGACGGTCTATCAAAATAACGTTCAATTAGAGCTGTTTTAAAATAGAGATGTGACGTCAGCCTTTGATGTTAGCGTACCACTACTTCAAACTAGCAGGATACTCGGCTTCGCACGGAGCTCAAATTGGCACGGGGCTAAAATTGGCTCAAATTTGGCACGGGGCCCAACTCGCCAAGGGCCCAAATTCGCTCGGGTCCCAAGTTCACCCTGAAACATTCACATTGCTAGGGTAGACAATGAAGAGCCACTGGGGAGGAGCTTAGGAGCCGAATTCAGACTGAAACATGGCCGACGAGATTTCCCAGAGAGAAACTAACGGTAAACTTCTCCCTGGGAGCCTAGATTGTATCAATATATTAATTAATGTCTCTCTTGCGACCATTAAACCAGACAGAAAGTTTTAATTAATATCCATATTCAACAAATATGACTAAAAGCTGATTTATGACGACAAAGTATTCTGGCTTAATGAACGTATTGTCGCTTTAATCAGTGGTGAGGTCGTGGAAAGTTTCTTTTCAAAAACAATGAAACTTAAAGTAACTGTGTGCCATTGACATTTTTCGCTAAAATATATAATTTCTCACGTTTAATCCACGATAATATGTAATTAGATTGATTAAGAAAACAAAATAAAAATACTAACTCTAGACAATGTACCGGCTTTGTTGACAACAAAATGGTGGCCGGCTTATTACATAGGGATGACCATAGATCGATGAACTTCCAATTCCACACATCTCTGTAAATACTCAACGGGCATGCACCATTTTTGAACTGACATTGCCATTAGACACTAATCTTTCACAATATTGTAATTAGCAAAATATTCCTAATCCTACCGTGCTACATGACGCATAGGGGCTTTAAACCTGTATTTTAATAAAAATGAATAATGTGCTTATTTTTTATTTATTTATTTTTTATATATAAATTCAGTTTTCATAAACATATCCATATTCCCTCTTCCTAATCTTATCGCGCTACATGACCCATAGGGACTTTAAACCTGTATTTTAATAAAAATGGATAATGTGCTTATTTTTTTTAGATATAAATTCAGTTTTCATCGAGGGACTTCCTTATATAAACATAACCATATTCCCTATTCCTAATCTTATCGCGCTACATGACCCATAGGGACTTTAAACCTGTATTTTAATAAAAATGGATAATGTGCTTATTTTTTTTAGATATAAATTCAGTTTTCATCGAGGGACTTCCTTATATAAACATAACCATATTCCCTATTCCTAATCTTATCGCGCTACATGACCCATAGGGACTTTAAACCTGTGTTTTAATAAAAATGGATAATGTCCTTATTTTTTTTTATATATAAATTCAGTCTTCATCGAGGGACTTCGTTATATAAACATATCCATATTCCCTATTCCTAATCCTATCACGCTACATGATAATGTGCTTATTCTATTTATTTTTTTTTATTTTTTTTTTTTTTATAAATTCAGTTTTCATCGAGGGACTTTGTTATATGAACATATCCATATTCCCTATTCCTATCCTAGGGACTTTAAATCTTATTTTAATCAAACGGATAATGTGCTTATTTTTTTTATAAATTCAGTTTTCATCGAGGGACGTCGTTATATGAACATATCCATGTGAAACATGAGAAAATCTCCATGTACAGTAAAGTACAGATGTTACGACAGATAGCATTAGGCATGGGTTATCTCCACGCTAAAGGCATCGTGCTGCGGCGACTTAATACACACAACGTTTTTCTGTGTCCAAGAGTTAAACTCAGTGCCATGGATTGGGGAATAGCTGAATCTGTCCACGACAGGTAAATATCAAGTCTCTCTCTCTCTCTCTCTCTCTCTCTCTCCAGACGGATGGACACACCTGGTGACGGCGCATTATACAACTCTCTCTCTCTCCAGACGAATGGACACAACTGGTGACGGCGCAGTATACAACACTCTCTCTCTTTCTCTCCACACCCCTGGTGACGGCGCAGTATACAACCCCCCCCCCCTCTCTCTCTCTCTCTCGGAATAATCGATAGGATACGTCGAGAAACCCCTTAGCTTCGCTACGCCCAGGATGAGTTTTGCTTGACGTCATCTCTATAGAATAGTCCTGTAACCACCCTCCGATAAATCCATTATTTGTCACCTTTAGAACTTGGTACAGGAAGATAGCAGTAAATTGTCTATTTGTTAGACTATTTTAGTGGTCTTTTTTTTCTTTAAAAATCATTCTTGTAGTGAATGACATAATTAGCCGAACGCCATCAAGTCCCTGCTATTTTACTCTCATGTGACGTTTTTGTTTAGATTCTTTGGGTTGTTCTATTTTGGGGGGTTTTGGGAGGTTTTTTTAACTGACCTATTTCAGATTATTAGTATATTTAATTAAATTTCCATTTTTATTTCTCCATCCAGGTCTAACTATGCAGTGATACCACACCATCAGTTGACGTACGTTGCACCGGAAATACTGGCTTCCGCATGCGTTAAACCACCACGACTGGTTACCATGGCCACGACATACTCCAAAGAAACCGATATTTTTGCATTTGGGTGAGAATCAGTAAATATTGAAATAAATTAATATTGTCTTATATAAATATTTACCCAATTGTTGAACTGTCAATCCCGGCCATTACTACACGCTAACAACCGGGGTTGTGTTATAAGGCAATCTCCGTGTTTTGGTTTCCGAAAGAAGGCGCCATTTTGATTTTTAGTCGATAGGTTATGGAATATAAATATTGATACCAAGCAAGCTATACTAGTGGAGCTAATATGTAAAGGTCGTTATCTCAGTTTAGTCTGGGCTGAGAAGAGCTTTCAGAATTTTTCAAGCCCTGTTAACACTTAACACAATGTACACTTACTAAATCAAAGAAGCTTTTAACGTGGTTCTTTTCGTTCAGATGAGACAAAATACTCTGGGACCGGAGTCGCAAGTACTTTTTTCGATTGTAGGCTAAGATTTTCACTAATAGATTTGTCTAGGGTCCATGTGTACGTGGGTATTGGAGGAATCAAAGATTGAATGCCACAAAATTCTCAGCCCACAATTCTCTCTTCAATCTCTTTCTCCTTTCGAGATATGGGGTTTAACGTCCACACAGAACAAATTAGATCATTTCTGGATTACCATTATACAGTGTGCTAAGGGGGGGGGGGGGATTTTTTCCCGGACAGTGGCATTACCGCTTACTTTGAATTCAAAATGTCAAGTGTGTTTTTACGCGCACGCCAACGCCGTTTTTTCGTCCCATCCGAGCGACTAGACACTGTTTCTTGCCAGACCCTCCATACTGCACAAATGACAAGGCGAAAACACGCCGGAAAATCCCGAGGAACTTTCTAGGCCAACACCTGGTGCCGACCCGAGAACTTCTGATTGACATGACAAGAGGGGTCGTTACACTGTGATATTCAACACCTTGTAAACTGTTTTTATGGCTGTCAGTTAAAGATACATTATGGGAGATTAGATAACGAGTTGGCAGTTCTCACTATAATAGTTAAAAACTAGATAATGTAAAGGCAATTTTCTGAAAATTTCATTCAAATTGATCGACTATGAACCGAGAATAAAGCGATTGAAATTTCCGCCTAGCCTCGATCATCATTACTAACTGACCGTTTCAAGGGCTAATCTTCCAGAACGCGGATTATATAACAACTTTTCCAGATTCTAGTGTAGTAAAGACAAGTAAAACAAAATTTTGAACTATGAAAAACGAAACGACACAGGATCTGTGTTTTAATCAGATTGTGTTAAAATTGTATCTGTTCTATAACATATGTAATATTGATGGACACCAAAAGGTTGTCCTTTAAATGTATACAGTAAAATAGCTCGACAGTCTTGGTATAAAAGGCGGGATCACGGTGGCTAAGTGGGCAAGGCGCTGGCTCGCTAGCCTGGAGGTCGGATGTTCGATCCCTGCATTGGCCGAGAAAGTTCATCCAGATTTTCCGGCGTGGTTCCAACTTGTCAGTGATGCAGGACGGAGGGCCTGACAAGAACAGTTGTCTAGTCGTTCGGATGGGACGAAAAATCGAGGTCCCGTGTACACATTGGCGTGCACGTAAAAGATCCCTTGACAGTTGGAATTCGATATAAGAGTAGGCCGTAGTGCCGCTGCCTGGGCAAAATTTCCCTCATAACACACTGTATATCGTATGCCTGTGTTCATAAGCCCAGTTTGGAGCAGAACAGTAGGACGTTAAACCCCATTTCATTTCATTTCTATCATTCAGACAAACGATATGTTGAAGGCTAGGAGGTTCTGGGCGACCGAGACTACACACTAGGGTGTATTTCCGTCGTAATTAATCCGATTAATCCTTTTTCATTTCTCTGTTGTTGTTTCAGAACTGTTATGTATGAAATATTTGCTGGTCAATACCCGTTTGAGGATGTTGACCCCATGACCCTGATATGGCAGGTGTGCGGTGGCAGACGACAACAATTAGATAGTATACGATGTACAACACCCTTAAAGGTAAATATATCTGTACGTCCGTCCGTTCGATCGTTTGTGGCACGTAACGTCTGCTTCCACTGACGACAACAATTAGATTAATGTATACGATGTACAACACCCTTAGAGGTAAATATATCTGTACGTCCGTCCGTTCGATCATTTGTGGCACGTAACGTCCTCTTCCACTGATGACAACATATTGTATACAATTACAACACCCTTAAAGGTAAAAAATATCTGATACCAATAATCTGTATGTAGTTTGTTCGTGGAGCTTGCTAGATGAGCTAATCGTGTTTGGGGGTGGGGGACTATAGTCCGGCATTGGGTGGGAAGGGTGGGACGAGTAGGTTGAGGGGCGGGGACAGAAATTCATCCTCCCATCCTTTGGTAGCAATAACATGTACGTCCGTTCGTTCGCGGGCTTTAATGTCCACTTCGACCGGTCTTGACAAATGTGTCCTGTGGGAAACTTGCCAGAAAAGTCAGTCGTGTTTAAGGGGCTGGTCCAGCGTAAAGTGGGAATGGGAGAGACCGAGAAAGGAAATTCATGACCTCTATCTCCTTAGCTAAAAGGCGCCGCTTCCAACGACGGTGTCAGATGTGTCCGGGGAGACTTAGCCAAATGTGCTTGAGGATCGTGGGAGTTGGGAAAGATACAGCTAATATGACCTATCAGGGCCATTGTAATTCTAATATAAAGCGTTGCCCATGGAAACACGTGTTAACCTAGTAACCTAATCAGAACCCAAACGCAACATAAAATCCCGAAGAACGTTCTCGGTCAACACCGGGAGAGAACACCCCAGACCTCCTGCAGTATTTCTTAAAATTTCGATTTTATCTTAGTTTAAGTTTTCGTGAATAAGGGCCCTGGTTCGAATCCGGTGTCGACCGAGAACGTTCCTCCGGATTTTCCAGCGTGGTTTTCCCTTTGTCAGTAGTGATGGATGACGAAGGGCCTGGCAAGAATCTGTTCCTAATCTTTCAGATGAGGATGAAAGACCACTTGACAGTATAAATTTCATGAAAAGTAGATCCCTAACGCTGCTATCTCGGCACATTTTGCCACATAGCCCACGGGCCACGGCATGATGTACGGTCGTCTTTAAAAACGACGTTTGTGAAGAAAAGTAGGACATTAAACCACATTTCATTTCATTTCGTGTCTGCGTTCACAAATTACGACATTGTCTTCAATAGGTCACCTTCCTATGCTGGCTGATTGGTTTCATTTCCCATCGTTGCCTCCTGGTCTGATTTCTCTTAATATTACCGATAGTTCACTTACTGCTCTTATTAATAACGAGCGGCGACATTTTATCTACTGCCCCATTTAAATTTATTTCAAAGAATAATATAACTTTCCAGACGTTGCTATACGCCCACATTCATAATGTGGACATATTATACCATTTCTTAAATAAATAAGTAGCTGTTATAGTTTATTGCTCTGTCCAGTTACTAAATACCTCTCAAAGATTATAATGAAATGGAATGAAATGGGTTTTAACGTCCTACTGTTCTGCTCGGAACTGGGCTAATGAAGACGGGCTCAAAGGTTATAATAGATTTTAAAGGACAATATTGGTGCCAGTCATTATCACATATGTGATTGAACTGGTTAAACGCGTTCCAAATATTATTTTATCACAGTGATCATTGCTACGACAGATGCGTAATCAATGTTTCAACAATCGGAAGTGACGAACGCAAAAGGAAAACACGAGTTATCCCTCTATATAACTGACTGAAGTGACGAGTGATAACAGATACATGGGCGAATTTCTGCTCATTAATAATTCCTTCGGCTAGACCGAAACTTTAATCTCCAAATCTCGGTTCAGAGTGGCTCAGTTTGACTGAGATTTTCAGCAAATTGCCTTTACATTATCTAGTTTTTAACTATTATAGTGAGAACGGCCAGCTCTTTATCTAATCTCCCATAATGTATCTTTAATTAAACTAATTGTAATTATATTGTTTTGTTGAAGGGAGAGGGGTGATATAGGCCTTGCCGGTTCCCCAATCATATTCTTATTGAATAAAATATAGTTTTAAAAAAAAAAGCAAGACCGATTTTCTATAATTTTTATTGTCTCCACATTGATAAAAGAAATCGGCCGTGTGCGACTCACGGCAACTAGTATCGAATTTTGTCGCCGGCGATGATCTGATGTTTTTGTTGGGAGATGCTAATTGTAGGCCGGTTGGGGGGGGGGGTCGAGAATTTCCGGAGTCCGCAATGGCGGCTTTATATAAATGAGTATTTTGGGGAATACTAACCCTAACTCTTTTTAGAAGACTGAACTTGGATCCAATTTACCTTTTACCCCTCTTAAAGGTGTTAAGGGTTACATCTTCCAACACTCATAACTTCGCTCATATTTTGGATCTAGAAATTGATACAAATCGGTCGCAACGTATATAATAATGTAATGTGAATGTATATAAACTGATTTACATTCAATCGTTTCTGTTTTTACTGCAATTTCTAATCAGTTATGTTCGGCGAAATACGCCAGAAGTCTCAATCCAATGGCAATCTCTAGCGTCTGGTTATTCCACTCTATACCGATAGCATTTATTGCGCATGCTCTCCAGATAAGAATATGACGTCATCGTTTGACATGACTTGTGGAATATATCTAGCCTCTTTCTACGAGTCCCTTGTTAAAAATGGCGCTGAAATGCACCATGGTACACGATTCGTGTACCAACGGTAAACTGTTTATTTTGTCTTAATTATTGGATATCAGAAGCCAACCCTTTCCCCGTAAGATCACAACATCAATATTTATTTAAATTGACAAATAATTCGTGTTTTCAATGTCGAAGATTTTGGATGATATTGAGTTAGAGACTTAGCTACTTTAAATGATGAATTTTCATTATCTATTTTAGAACTATTATAGCAAGAACGGTCAGCTCTATTTTTGGATCTAACATAATGCATCTTTTATAGAAATGTTACATCAGATGAAATTAATTCAATAATTTATTTTGCCCTAAACCGAAGATATTTAGCTTCCTAAAGTGGAAGAATGCTGTGGATATATTGTTGTCTACATTATCCCATCTTTCGGATTGCGGTTCTTTCAATCATGGTTTTCAATATGCCTGTATGGCCCTGGGTCGTGTTTAATAAGCTTCTTAGAGGATTTTAGCTCTAGGGATTAGCTATAACTAGAGGTGGATAAGAAATAATCTTTTTCTTCCATTTTATTAATATTGTTAATACCAGTCTATTAATATTGTGTTTTGGAGCCAGGGTGGTTCGCTGGAGTGCACTTGGGTCATAAGGTCTGTCATGTCAAGTGGCTTGGTTTCGATTCCTAGTTTGTAGGTAACAAGGAGTAAGTTTGCCTGTCTAACCTCGTGGGTTTTCTCTGCCCCCCACCCCCGGATAGCCAAACACTCTTACGCGCAATTGAATTGAAATTATATTGAAACACGTGCCTCGAGTGGACGTTAAGCTCCATTTCGCTCTCTTTGTTTGCAGCCGTGGTGTCGGCTCACTAGCCAGGAAATTCCGGGTTCGGTCCCAGTGTCGGTCAAAAAATTTATTTCGTAGGTTATATCAGCACTAACGTATTGTGTACCTTTATTTGGATAAAGGTTTTGTGACAGTTGTGTTAAGCTTTTGGAATGCGGGGAGGGGGGATGACCGAATGGTTAGCACGTGCGCGCTGTGTCATAAGGCCTGTCATTGAGTCAACTGGCGTGGTTTCAAATCCCCGGTTGTACGTGACAAGGAGTAGGTTACGCCTGTCCAACCTCGTGGGTTTTCTCCGAGTCCTCGCCTGTCCAACCTCGTGGGTTTTCTCCGGGTCCTCCGGTTTCCTCCCACTGCTAAAGATCCCTGCACGCAAGCGAATTATTGAAATAAAAAAATTAAACCATATGTTAGTTCCGAAATGACCTAGTTTGTGTCGAGTGGACATTAAACCCAATCTCTCTCTCTGTCTCTCTGTCTCTCTCTTGGAATGCGCTTTGGGTATGCTCATGTATGGATACTGCGCAATATAATCAGATTATTAATAACATACTATTATTATGGTGTGTCCGCTGATCCTTAGGGACGAGGGTTGTTTATACAGTAGCAGTTTTAGATAAAGTTTTAATAACTAAACTTAATTAATAAAGACTAATAATATTAATTCAAGACTCATCTGCTTGTAAATTTATCTAAATTTGAAGCAATTCTCTTGAGATACTGAAACTGTCTGAAATATCGCAATAAATACAACATCTGATCTTTGTACAAGAATAACAAAATTAATCTTGTTTAAATTTATAAAAAGAATTTCTAACAATGTATTTCGCAATATTTCATGACAGAGAGGGGATAGCGTCCACTCGAAACAAACTAGGCACTTTTGGGACTAACATAAGTCAATATTTAACAGCGGGGGGAAACCGGAGATAACGCACGAGGCAAGCAGGCGATGCTTTGAATATAGAGCAGGAGCCCAGGGGGTTAACCTAGCTGAAAAGTGTACCAATTTTCTCCTATATGGTATCAATGTATGTATATCTGGTGTCATCAGAATGTAAGTCTGCAGGGTTTCTAGTGGTGGGTGTGGTATTCCACGCCCAAAATGCCATGCCCCCCAACTAGCCTGGATTAGCTCAAAAGTTTACCACATGAAAATCGCACAGCAATGTACCGTACATCTTCAGGTATTACAAAAACACTCTGACAGACATTTATAGTGGTGGGGTATCTCTCTAGGAGACATTTTTGCGCCTCGCCTTGCTATGTGGTTTTTTTTTAATTGATTAGTTCATTTGTTTTATTTGGTTTAGTAGTGCAAGGCGGTTGGCGTTACACTCTAGGGGACATTTTTGCGCGCCGCCTTGCTGATGGTTGGTTACCTAGCTTTTGTTTTCGTTTATCATTATATGAATTTTTCCATACCTATACTTTTTATGAAGTCCCAGATAAGCTGGGAGGTCCAGCATCTGTCATCTGGGTGTGGGGAAAGGAGAGAATTGAGACAGAAGGTTCTGCCCCT